GGAGTTCCTATATATATTGAAATTCCCTCCACAGATGCAGATGCAGATTCAAAACCGTCTGTAACTTATACTTAGAGTCACTTAGAGAGCACTAAGATATTCTTGTTAATCAGCAGTAAAGTTTCAGTTTGCTGATGTTTGGGGTCTCCATGTTAGATTTTTGGTCAATCAGGGAGGCTGAACCAATGGGTAACCGTAGATGAACTTGGACCAATGAGTCTGGAGTCCTTTGAAAAATTTGTTTCCTGGCACCTCCTACCTGTTTGTTTATGTTTAATAATAGGTTTGTTTGCTTTTAATAATACCCCCGCAGCCCTCCTGTTTCCTAAGTGGTTATAGCAAATGCTTACCCGTGGCTCAGGGCTCTCCAGCCAGTCCTCCATTCATCATGAGTGGCTAGGGGCTACAGGCAGCAAAAGAAACAGGTTGGTTTGCAAGGGGATGGTTGATTTTCTAGGGTAATGATATTTATAGAGGATAATATCACCCAGCTTCAAAGTCAGTCGCACCCATTAGGTTACTAATCCTCCTGATCACTGCCCCTCCCAGCCAGTCCTCCCCCACTCTTCTAGGCAGGAGGTTATATTATCTCCATTGTTAATGCAGACAAGGAAACTGAGGTAGAAGAAAGTGCTAAGGCTAGCGTCAGTGACCCCAAAGCCTGACTTCTTCCATCTCTGTTCTTCTCCATTGTCCTCTAAAAATTGTCCAAGCATGTGGGTATTGACACACAAATGCATGCTAAAGCAAGCCAGACAACCTAGGTCCACAGAAAAGAACAATTTGCAAATTCATTCATTCTTTTTTTTTTGGTAGATTTATGTTTTGAAATCTAGTTATGTGTTTATTTAATGAATGCCTCCTAATTTGAGTCAAGGTTCCAGACAAAGCTATCTCAAGGAAAGAGCAAATGGATTGAGTGTCTTGGAACTTTTCAGTTCTGAGGCGGCAGGGATAAGTTGCTAGTTGGTTGAAGAATGATTCTGGAGGGAAATCCAATGATTTCTCTAAGTAATTCCAAATTCTATACCTACCATCGATGGATAAACCCTCTTTTATCATCAAGGCAAAGTGGATGAGAAAGCCTCTGCTCACCCCATCTGTATCCGGACTTACTCTTCAGGGTGCCATTTTGTGACTTCTTTCCACCTGCCACTGAAGTGAAGTCTTCCTAGCCTGATTTCAGCTCAACAGAAATGGCTGGAAGGACAAGTGATAGGAAAGACCGATGCGCAAGAGAGCACTGGTTGGAAAAGGTAAAAATGTTGGTGGGCCTAATTTTGCCCTGCATGGGAGTCCATCACAGGCTGAGGCTGGATGGGTTTGATGGTGATGGTTGAAGCCTTCCAGTGTTAGGGAATCAGGGGAAGTTTCAGGCAAAAAAGTCCCTTCTTAGCACTCCAAATTAAAATTAAGACCAGTAATTGAGAAACAAATGGCAAAATTCATGGTCTGGAGGTAGAAAGTGGTATTGACACCAAAGCAGGATCAAAACTAAGATCAACAAGGTCTGGGGTTTGGCTGCAGGGATTTGCTACCAAGATAGACAGTAGGTGGGGGTGGTTTGACATAGAGTTCTTTCCACTCAATATTCTGCAGGTGCATGTGTTTTTATACCCAGCCATACTGTGTGTCCAGCTTCCTCCCCACTCCCCCAGCAGCAGAATTCTGTCCCCTGCTACTTTCTTTGCTCTTCGTTGCAACAGCCATCTCTGAGTGGCAATGGTGGGCAGATGAAGTGAAATATTTGGTCCAATCAAAGCCACCTATGAAACGCACAGATGTTCATGAAACTTGCCCTGATAACCCCCAGCTACCAATCATCTCTTACCTTCATGACCTGTCTATACAATAATCTGGGCAATATTTTCTAATTGCCTTCTGTATATATGATGCACAGTGGTATAAAGGATTCAGTTTGACTTCCAGGGTTGTCATACTAATTTTTGCTTGAGCCTCGACTCAATGAATTTTGAAAAACGTGTCATGTCACTATCCCTCTTGCAAAAAAAAAATCATGTTGAGGTTACTCATAAAATTTCATTCAATCATTAGATACAACATGTTGAAACAAGCGTCTTCGTGGTTCCCAAATCTGCTAGTCAGACTTTAAAAATAAACATTTCTCCTTGCCAATGAAAGTGCCCCAATACCCATTATCTCTTTGTGGAACTTCCCAAGGAGCATAAAATCCCTCACTTTCCTCATCTGTAAAATAAGGATAATAACAGCATTTACCTGCATGGTTGTGAGGATCAAATGAGATAATATTTGTAAAGGGCTTAGCACAGTGCCTGGCATATAGTAGGCACTATGTAAATGCTTATTCTCTCTTTTTCTCCTAACTTCTTGGGCATTACTACCCCCTTTTTTTTTCTACTTTCAGTCCCCTACTTACCCCTTTTTATAAAGGCCCTGAGACCCCTGATAGCCACAACATAACACATAGATATAGTCCTCTACCTTGGGGTGCCTGACTGCACCTGAGCTGGTGCTACACCTGCTTTCTCTGTCTCTGTTATGACTACTGCTTTCCTGAGACTTTCTGCTGCTGCTGTCACTCATCCAGACAGAGCCTCGTAGGCGCCATCTTTATTAGCTTTGTGATCATGGAGTCTTGGCTTTCTGGTCACTGGCAGAGACCGATGACCTTATCTTGACTCAGCCAACTTGTCATGGAAAATCCTACATAGATTCAGCAGAGAGAAGCCTGCTACCATAGGCGTTTCTGTTCCCTTTAACTCTGACCTTTACCACCACTTTCTACTGACATAACAGAGATTTCCTGTCTCACTCACCCATCCCAAGGCCTGGATGCTCCTCATGATTGGGGTTGAAGCTGGAAAGACTTGAATGAACTGATGCTGAGTGAAGTGAGCAGAGCCAGGAGAACATTGTACACAATAACAGCCACAATGTGTGATGACTAACTTTGATAGATTCATCTCTTCTTAGCAATGCAAGGATCCAAGACAACTCTAAAGGACTCATGATGGAAAATGCTGTCCACATGCAGAAAAAAGAACCATGGAGGCTGAATGCAGATCAAAGCAAATTATTTGCTTTCTCTCTTTTTTATTGTTTGTTTCTTCTTTCTTGTGGTTTCTCCAGTCTTCTTTACAACATGGTTCGAAGTCTTCTTTACAATATGACTAATGTGAAAATAGTTCAATATGAATGTATATAGATAGCCTATATCAAATTGCATGCCATCTTGAGGTGGGGGGAGAGGAGAGATGGGGAGAAAATTTGGAACTCAAAATCTTATGGAAGTGAATGTTGAAAATTAAAAATAAATTGATTTTTTTTAAAAATTGGGGTTGAAGGATAGCTACAGATGAATTAGTAAACAAGTATTAAAGGCCTGCTATGTGCCAAGCAATGTACTAAGCATTGGGGATATGATAAAGAGGCAAAAAAAGTCCTTATCCTCAAAGAACTTACTGTCTTATGGAGGAGACAATGTATAAACAAATATATAAGGGCAGTGAGGTGGCACAGATAATAGAGCATCGGCCCTGAAGCCAGGAGGACCTGCGTTCAAATCCGGACTCAGACCAAACACTTGACACTTACTAGCTGTGTGACCCTGGGCAAGTCAGTTAACCCCAATTGCCTTAAAAAAAAAACAAATATGTACAAAGGAAAGCTATATACAGGAAAAACAGGAAATATTTAACAGAGGGAAGGCACTGGAATTAAAAGGAGTTGAGGAAGGCTTCCTGCAGAAGGTGGGATTTAAGTTGGGAATTAAAAGAAGCCAGGGAGGTCAGTACTTGGAGTGGATGAGAGAGAACATTCCAGGCACAAGGGACAGTCAGAGAAAATGCCCAGAGCCAGAAATGAGTGTCTTGTTTGTGAAATAGCCTGAAGGCCAATGTCTCTGGATCGAAGAGTTCAAAGAGTAAGGCAGAAAAAGACTGGAAAGGTAGGAGGAGTCTAGGTTATGAAGGGCTTTGAATGCCAAAGATTGACAGGCATTACCTGCAAAATAAGGATAGTATTTATTATCAGTATTACCTAACTCACAGGGTTGTTATGAGGGAAATGCTTTGTAAATTTTGAAGCTTTTTAGAACTATGAATCTTAGAATCATAGGATCATAGCTTTAGAACTAGAAAGGACCTTAGAGGTTTTCTAATGCCATCCTCTTATTTTATATATGAAGAAACCAAGGCCTAGAAAGACTGAATAATTTGCCCAAAGTCACAGGTTTTGAATGTCTTAATGTCATTCCGGGATTTGAATGTCAACTCTAAACCTGACCCATTTTCCATGGAACAATTTAAATTGAGGGAAGAAGGGCCGTTTTCAGAGTGGAGGTAACAAGTTATGGAAAGGGCAAAGAATATGGAGTGAGTTGATCAATCAGCCAGCGTTTATTAATGCCTCCTATATTCTGGAGATACAAGTACCCACATGGAGCTTACATTCCAACAGGAAGACAAGAATTACCTATAAAAAAAGTCTGTCCAGAATAAGTATAAAGAGAATGAAGGTAAAGTAGTGAAACACACAGTAATTTCGGAGGGAAAATGAAAACAGTAGGAAGGATCAATTGGGAAATGCAGTAGATGGTGCTGGAGCTATGTCTAGAAAGAAAATTTCAGTTTAATTCCTGGGTTTGTGGCTTATTAACTGTTACCTCATCCAAGTCACTTAATCTCCCTTAGTTTCCCCATCTGTAAAACAACTAACCTGTGGTACCTACAGGGCTGTTGTGAGACTCAAACAAGACAGTGCATGTGTGTAATTTTTGTCAGCCATAAAGCCCTCTATAATGCCAGGCATTATCAGCATGCATAAGGATTCTTCATTGGACAAAAGGCCACAACACATGATTCCTTTATGTAGGAAGCTTCCCTAGTTTGATCCTAGACATAGAAATTCAGTTTAAGTAGTTTCTACATCTACTGTATAAATGGAAGTAACTTGTATAATATTCCCATTGGGTCATATTTGTCTTAACTCGCCACTAATTTATTTCATCCTTAACCCAGCCTTCCCCTGCAGGTCATTCAATCTGTTTGCAAACCTCTGCAAGAGTAAGACAGCTTTTTCTCCAGAGGTTAAGACTTTTCAGGAGCAAACAATATGAAAGAAGAAGAAGAAGAAGAAGAAAATTTCAGCTAAGGCAGAAATGATTAATTGGGCCACTCTGCTGAAAATAGGATGCGGCTCTCAAGATATGGAAGCTGCTGAGGTAAGAATGCTTTTCTAAGAGATGTGCAATACCAGGAGAAAAAAAATATTAGATCCTGACTATTCTTAATTGTTGAATGAAATGAGTGAATGACTCCAGGTAATAATAATGATAGTATTAATAATCATTCAATAATTGAATCTTTGAATTAAAGATGCCATTAGAGATTAACTCATGCAAATTCTCATTCAGTGCCTTCCTCATCTATAAAAAGAAGGTGATTGAACAGGTGACCTCTAAGACCTTTCTAATTTGAGCATCATATGATCCTAGGATCCAGGGTTTTTGGCTTTTGTTTTTTTTTTTTCAGATGAGGACATTGAGGCTCAGCTCAATCACCAGATCCTTTCTTGAGCCCCAACCATGTGTAATGGCCTGCAAAACAAGGGTCCCAGTGAGCAGAACCTTGTACTTTGTATTAAAAGACCTGAGCTAAAGTCCAAGTTCTAATGTATGATCCTGGACAAGTTGCTAAACTTTTATAAGCCTCGGTTTCCCTCTCTGCTAAATGAGATCATTCTTGTCCTTCTTACCTCCACAGAGATATGAAGGAAACATTGAGTAAGATATGGGAGCACTTTGTGAACGCTAAAACACTACCCAAGAGTTGGATATCATGACTACTACTTTCCTCCCCACCCCCAAGACTTGTGATTTCATCAGTGGAGGAGGTCCAGTAACTTTCTCTGCCAACGCAGACCAGCCTCTTTCTTGTAGTTTATCACCTGCAGAGTTGCCATGGATGTAGAGAGATTGGTGATTTGCTAATGGGATTGAGGAAGGATTGAAACCCCAGTCTTCTTGACTCTAAGGCCACCTCTCCCTTTGCCACACTGACTCTCACTACTGCTAATAACAACAAAAAACATAGCCCATGATCCCTGTGCTTAAATACATACATGCATTAAAAAATCAGTACCTGAGACATTGCCTGTGCCCATGCTACCTACAATTCTGAATGTAGGAAATAAAGGGCTAAATACAGTTAGCGTTGTTGTTGTTGTTCATCTTTCATTTTTGAAGAGCACCAGCGCCATCACAAGACGTTGCCATGACTTGATCATGAACTGGATTTACATGACGCAGAGCTGCACAAAGTCATCAGCTTCTCAGAGTCATCAAAGTCCCATGGGAGGACAAAAGTCAGGATGACTGGTGATGGCCCAGGATGTAGTGGGTGACCTTGGTGTCTTTGATGTCTGACCAGTCTCTAAGTGCCCCACAGCACCTGCTTCAGCCCCCTTCATGGACGTTGGAACAAATTGTTCCCATCCACTCATTCTGTTGGAAGTCTTCACATGCTTTGGGTAGACATCCCCCTCACTCACTAATGGGTTTGAGGCCTATGGGTGTATGGGGTATTCAGGAACAACTAGCACCTCTGGTGTGAGGGCTTACCCAGCCCTTTTCCACATTTCTCATCCACTTTTGGTGTCCGCCTTTCACCCAACTCTCACCAGTGGCTCCAAGAAGCTGTGGCATACAGGCATACATAGAAGTCACATCCCACCACCGTCTCAGTGGATGGGCTAAACCAGATTAAGGGCTGAATACTATAGAACAGACCATTAGAAAACAAAGCAGAGAGAGAGAACACAGGATGTCAGAGAGGAAAGAGGGGTTTGAGATCATCTCAGTCTATTCATTTTACAGAGGAGAACACTGAGACCCAAAGAGATGAGGAAACTCCTCCAAGGTCATTCAACCAGGTAATGGCAGAACTGGAACTAGAAATAGGGTCTCCTGACTCCCAATCCCGGAACTCTTTAACTGAGGGTCCCCTAACTGTGGCTACAAAGACCCAAAGCCTAATAAGTCTTTTTCCAATTTTTATGATCTCTTTGAGATACAGACTTAGTAGTAATATTGCTGGATCAAAGGGCATGCACAGTTTTATACCCTTTGGGCATAGTTCCAAATTGCTTTCCAGAATGGTTGGATCAGTTCACAACTCCACCAACAATACATTGGTGTTCCAATTTTCCCACATCTGCAACATTTATCATTTTCCTGTTTTGTCATGTTAGCCAATCTTATAGATGTGATGTGATATCTCAGAGTTGTTTTAATTTGCATTTCTCAAATCAATAGTGATTTAGAGCATTTTTCCATATGACTATAGAAAGCTTTAATTTTTTTTATGCAAAACTGCCTGTTCATATCCATTGACTATTTATCAATTGGGGAATGACTTGTATTCTTAGAAAATTGACTCAGTTCTCTACATATTTTAGAGATGAGGCCTTTATCAGAGACACTGGCTGGAAAATTGTTTCCCAGCTTTCTGCTTCCATTCTAATCTTGGGTTCATTGGCTTTGTTTGTGCAAAACCTTTTTAACTTAATGTAATCAAAATTATCCATTTTGCATTTCATAATGTTTCCTGTCTCTTGTTTGGTCATAAATTCTTCCATCCTCCATAGATCTGACAGGTAAACTATTCCTTGTTCTCCTAATTTGCTCATAGTCTCACCCTTTATGTCTAAATTGTGTACTCATTTTGACTGTATCTTGGTATATGGTGTAAGATGTTGGTCTATGCCTAGTTTCTGCCATTCTATTTTCCAGTTTTCCCAGCAGTTTTTATCAAATAGTGAGTTCTTATCCCAGAAGGTGGAATCTTTGGGTTTATCAAACAGTAGATTACTACAGTCGTTGACTACTGTCTTGTGTACCTAACCTATTCCACTGACCCACGACTCTATTTCTTATTAATTTTGCTGCTTTATAATACAGTTTAACTCTGGTATGGCTAGACCACCTTCTCTTTTCATGAATTCCCTTGATATTCTGGACCCTTTGTTCTTCCAGATGAATTTTGTTATTATTTTTTCTAGCTCTATAAGATAATTTTTGGTAGTTTGATTGGTATGGCACTGAATAAGTAAATTAATTTAGGTAGAATTGTCATTTTTATTATAGTAGCTCAGCCTACCCATGAGCAACTGATGTTTTTCCAATTATTTAGATCTGACTTTATTTGTGTGGAAAGTGTTTTGTAATTATGTTTAGGTTTGTTTTGGCAGGTAGACTCCCAAATATTTTATATTGTCAACAGTTACTTTAAATGGTATTTCTCTTTCTATCTCTTGCTGCTGGGCTTTGTTAGTAATATATAGAAATGCCTGTGATTTATGTGGGTTTATCTTATATCCTGCAACTTTGTTAAAATTATTAATTAAGTAGGTTTTTTTTCACTTGATTCTCTAGGATTCTCTAAGTATACCATCATATCATATGCAAAGAGTAATAGCCTTGTTTCTTCATTGACTATTCTAATTCCTTCAATTTCTTTTTCTTCTCTTATTGCTAAAGCTAGCATGTCTACTATGATATTGAATAATAGTAGTGATAATGGGTATCCTTATTTCACCCCTGATGTTATTAGGAATGACCTAGCTTATCTCCATTATGCATAATACTTGCTGGTGGTTTTAGGTAGATGCTACTTATTATTTTAAGGAAAATTCCATTGATTCCTATGCTCTCTAGTGTTTTTAATAGGAATGGGTATTGTGTTTTGTCAAAAGCTTTTTCTGCATCTATTGAGATAATCGCATGATTTCTATTAATTTTGTTATTGATATGGTTAATTATGTTGATAATTTTCCTAATGTTGAACCAGCTCTTCATTCTTGGCATAAATCCCACCTGGTCATAGTGAATTTTCCTTGTGATAAGTTGAGACAGTGCCACTATAACAAATTAATAATAAGAAAGGGGGAGGGCAACAGGCCTGCTACATGCCAGGCACTGTGCTAAGTGCTTTATAAGTATTGTCTCATTTGATAAGATGCACAGACACCTGGTCAAATACTGTCTGTATGGCATAGTATTTACCACACTGTTAGTCTGTGTGGTAAAAGCAAATAAAGGCTCAAATGTCTGTGACACTTTAATGTTGAAAGGATATTTTCTTTAAAAAACAAAAACAAAAAACAAAACAAAAAAAAAACCCTGTGAGATAAGTAGCATAGATTATCCCCCTCTGACAGGTGAGAAAACTGAGTCTCCCAAAGGTTAAATGACTTTCCAAAAGTCACAGAGCCAAAGTGATTTTCATTAAGCACATTAAGTCTGACTGTGTCACTGCTCTAGTTATTAAATTCCTGGGCTCTCTCTTACCTCTAGGAGTAAATATAAACTCTGTTTGACACATAAAGCCCCAGTCTACCTCTTCAACCACATTATACAATACTCCCCTTTCCCACTCTCTTTGTTCTAAACAAATTGGCTTTTCTGTTCCTTACATTCTAGCGGGAGAAGATCACACATAAAAGGAGAGCAGAAAAGTGTGGGGGTGGGAGGGGTTCCCCAACCAAGATGTGGTGGCTAAGTTCAGACAATGAGAGATGGCTAGTCCAAGCTCTTCCCCAAAATGGAGGTTCCAGGAATAGCTCACCAATGGGAGAACAGGCCCATAGGAGCATTATCAGAGGCATGAAGGTATAGTCTGGAGAATAGAGAAAGGGTCATACAAGCTAATGAGTATAAGAGCTAGAATTCAAACCCAAATCTCTCTTAATTCCAAGACCACTGTTCTTTCCTCTGCATAGTACTATCTCTCTCAAAGTGGGTTAGAAAAGAGCGAGCTCAAATGGGCCAACCACATTAGGGAGAGTTGATAAGAGGAGGTGATACTTAGCCAGGCCTTGAATGAAAATTAGGGTAGACATTCCCAATAGAGGTACTTGGGTGAAAGGGTGGTAGAACCATCTCAGTTTAGACCCCCAAAAAAGTGTGGGAATAATACAACATTGTTGAATGAGTTCAGTGACGTATGTTGTCTAAGGATCAGCCTAGCTAAATCAGAGTGGCCCATTGGACCACGTGGTTGTAGGATGATGAAAAATCACCAGCAACTTTCAGAGATCAGCTAGTTCCATAACATTTTATAATTGAGAAAACCAGGATTACAGAGATAAAGTGACTTTGTCTAACATCACACAGGGAGTCAGTGGTTTTGGTGAGGAAAGACTTCCTCTATAGCAACCCAGGGCAATAATTAATTCACTGTGCTGTCTATAAAATAAAATGACCTGAAGTATGAGACAGCTTAGGGTTCTAATACTACAGAAGAATTTTTACAACAGAGTTGGATTTCTGATCCTTGTTGCTATGAGAAGATTCAAGAAAAAAAAAATGTATTTTTAAATCAAATAGCTAAATATCACAGTGAGTTGGGTGTTCTCTAAAAATGAAAATAAATCATACCCTCCTATGAAAAGCATTACTTATTATAGAAAGAAGACAGAATAGCAGCATGAATGGTCAGGGACTTCCTATTCCTGCCCCACAACTGAAAGGGAAAAACACACACAAAACAGGAAAAACTATTACCCTAGAGACATTTTAGATTTGGTGAGATAATTTTTTAGATATAAAGAGGTCCCAACATATACCTCAAGAAAGTGAAAGTCAAAAAGAAAGGCTCTATGCATTGTCAAAATATTCACAGTAACACTTTTAGGGGTAACAAAACATTGAGAACAAAGGGAATGCCAATCAACTGGTGAATGGATAAGGAATTTGTGGCATATTAAAATAGTAGAATATTATTATGCCATATAATATGGTGATTATTATGAATTCAGAGAAGTGTGGAAAAACTTGTACAAACTAGCAAAACAACATACACAGTGACTTTACTCATATAAATGAAAAGAACACTGGAATGAAGTCAAGGACTGAGGAGGCTTAATGAGCAATCTTGGCCCTGTAGAAAAGACCCTTGGCCTTTTGGTGGAGAGGCACTATAGGCGTGAAATGTTACATACACCATTAGATGCAATCAGAGTTATCAATTGGTTTTGCTTAATTGTTTTCTATTGTTACAAAGGAGGTCTAAGGGAGGGGGTTATATTCAGAAATAACTGTTTTTTAAGCATCAATAAAACTTATTAATAAATTAGTTGGGTGTAATGGCAC